GCCAGCGCGTGCAGTATGCCTATGGCCCCAAGGCGCTAGACAATCAGGCGCCAGAAGTCTTGTCAGTTGCCATGATCTGACATGGCTATGGGCAAGTGGTAATCGCCTACTCCTCCCCACTCCACTCCAAACGATGGATAAATGATGATTAAAAACCATCTTTCGTAACCAACTTGTAGATCAACACTTCACTCTTCTGATGTGAACTACACAGATGAAAATTGATACATTATAAGGTTACATTCGACGGCTACAAATTGAATTTTATCAGATTCATCCACGTTTTCATTTCTACATCTCTCTTCTTTCAAATGTCGCATTGCAATAAATCTAGTACATTGCAAATTAAAGTCATACTTGTTAACGACTAGGACAGGGATCCCAACTACTTCACGTTTTGCGAAATATTTTATAGAATGGTAGACAATTAAGAACTGAAACTTTTACAATTTGTGGTAATTTTAACAGCATTTTAACAGCATAAGACACGGTTCCCAGCAGATCACCGAAGTCAAGCATCACTGACTGCGGTCAGAGTGCGGGTGGGTGATCACTTGGATCAGTCTGCGTAGGGACCGAGGGTGTGCGGTATTAGTCCTCGTTAAACTGTTCTACCTTAAAGTGATCGACTTCTCATGGTGATCGTCGGGCTACCGAAGCGGATGTGCCATCCCCTCTGCAGAGGATCAAAATTGTTATGGCATGTCTATGGGATGTTTCCCAGACAGTCGCCAATAGCCCATTGAGCAGCTCTAGTGCGACGTAAATGAACTACAACAACGAACATTTTTTAAAGCCTCTAAAGTTAGATTGATGTGGCTTTTTTATATAAGTGTCAGAATCATTTGCAAGTAGAGGTGTGACAAACAGCTTAAAATCAAATTTATAAAAGAAAGAATAGTGCATTACATCATAAACTTAGCGACCACTGGAAGAAATTTTTCCAAAAAGCGTAGAAAGTTGGCAGGCCTCTGCCATAAGTATATATATTGAAATTCAGAGAAATTTTATAACTGCTCAAGGTCATATTTATAGAGTAATTTCCTTTTTCAAAAGCATATATTGTGGTAGGACTATTGTTTCAATTTTGCCTTTTATCTAGGAGAATTAAAAGATTCCCTTCCACCATAATTTGTTAGTGGTTTAAGTTTCTATCACTATATCTAGAACTATAAGATGGAGGGACATTTCGAAATGAAATGGTAACAAACAGTTGATATTAGAGGTGAATAACATACCACTTTAGGTAAATACCACTTTTTTCATAAAACCACCTTTTGTACCACTTCAATTATAAAAATCGGGTTAAGAGTCCAAATTAATTGATCAAATAGTATGATTAATTAATTAAAAGATCTTTTCCGTAAGTTATCCTTATTAATTAATCCTTAATTAATTTTTTTTTCAAAAATATCTAATTTGATTCTAGCTTAACGGATGAAAAAAATAAATTATTAAATTCATATTATTACTAACGAGATTTCTTTTTATCTATTTAAGGTTTATTTATTTGTCCACACTTTTTTCTTGAAATCTTTTCTTGGAGTCTTAAGTCTTCAAAACTGGTAACTTTTAATTTGTGATCGGTCCCTAGGTGTCAGAACTGGACAAATATCGTATCGCAACAAATCGGCTGTCAACATGAAGCAAAATCTTCGTTATCCATCCCTGATAATGTAAATGGAGATATCAGGAGGAGCCCTGATTATTAAAGGGGAAGGTGAAAGGTTAGAGATGCTCGGATCATTAAAAAGTGTGAAAGAGCACCATATATGTAATATACCAAGCAATGCATCTTACTATGTAAAGGTAAAATAACACTGGAGAAACTATTTCTTTTTGCGTTGCGTGAGATTTTTGATTGTAACTTAGATGTGTATTTTCGCTTCGCAAATTTCAAATCTGTAATGTTTCTTTCTACCAGTTATATAGTTTTTTTGCAATTTAATAATATATTACTAATCAGGGATATTTCAAAATTCACACCTGTCAGCATTTAGTGTTCCCACTTCCTTAGTGACAGGAAGAAGTTGATTATACAGTTTATGATGCGATACGCTAAAGTTATGTTTATTTTTTGTATTAAGTACTATTTTTTCAAAGGAGCATATATGTATATAAACCAATTCATTCTTTATAAATTTGTACATTCAGCCAAAAATAAACTAAACGGAATATATCATTTGGAACAAAAATCTGTAAGTTTCGAAACAAAACTAATTTCAGTTATGAAATTCCCACACCTGAATTAGGTAAGATCAAATAATTGTATAAATGTAACAAAATTTTTGCTCTCCAATGTAATTTACACGTACTTAATAATTGAACTATTTTATTAATGCCCAGTCTAAATGTGATTCATTCTTAATTAATTTTGCCGGATTGGACGGATTTAATTAATTTTTAATTAATTCCACAATTAATCTAGCCATTATTTTGGTCATCTCTTTATTTTAACTTTGAACTTATCATGATAGTTTACTATTCATGAGGGTAAAAAGAAAGAAAGAAATTTATATGATTGCTTTCTTTAAATAGAGATTCCACGATCCATGGTGGCTTAGTAGATGGAGAGCTCGCCTCCCAATGAGGTGAATCGGGTTCGAATCCCAGCGATGGCTGGTCGATACGAATTCTGCACCCGGCTCGCACAACCACAGTGCTGACGTAAAATATTCTCAGTGGTAGACGGATCATGGGTTAGAGTCCCCTTACCGCCAGGCTAACCGTGGGAAGTTTTTGTGGATTTCTCACTGTATCGAAAATGCAAGCTAGTTCAGCAAGTTTGAAATATACCGTAATTTGAGAGCAGTAGGTGGAAAATATGCTATTTTTTACACGCATTTTTACATCTCTGCTTGTTTATTGTCTTTTTTATTTTAAATTCTAAACTAATTTTTTCTTTTTTTAAGTTTTGAAATTTCAGCGATTTGCACATTAAAGCCACTTAAACAAAATTCAAATGCGCATGTATTTAATTTTCGCAGTAACATAAACCTGAAGTAAATAATGCTGAAATAGAAAAGCATCAACTCAATTGCAAAATTCCGAAACACTCTCTTAAATTGCAGAATTCAAATTAAAATTTAAACAACTCGAATATCTGCAGCACTGGCCTTGATAGTCAGACTTCATCCATATTTTATAACATAGTCGGCAACTTCAAAATGTCACCATAGGGGTGCGAACTTTCGCACGGACAAACCCAATTTAGACAAGAGAATTCGGCGGAGTTTATTAAATAACGTCGCACCAAGTTTCAATTTCGACTCTCGCCAAGTAAAGGTTTCTGTTTGCTGCCTAGTCTCCGTGAACAAACGTCTGTCGGTCGCATAGCGGATTTCAACCAAACGCAAGTGAGAGCTTTTCTCTCGGGAGACGCAGGGAGGCGACGAATTCTTATTTAATATTCAAAGGATGGAGTGTCGTGTTAGCGTCCAATCGTGGCAATTGCTATTTATTTAGCAGTTGCAAAGAGGAAACTGGATTTTGGATCTTTCTGAGATAAATTTAATAGTGGAAAGATAGAAATGCAATGAATTCAACAAAAATTGCTATGTTTCCTTTATAGTTTTTGCTTACAAATACTCTTTAATAAGCATAAACTATAAATACTTCTACTAAGTATAAATACTATATAAGAAGTATACTACGACTTACTATATATTACTAATAAGTATACTTAATAGTTTTTGCTTACAAAAGCTACTTAATAAATATAAACTATAAATACCTCTACTAAGTATAAATACTACTTAATAAGTATACTACACTTTAAGTAAATACGACTTTATATACTACTATCTAATTTAATGGTGTAAAGCTGGAAATGCAATGAATTTAGCTAAAATTGCTATGCTATATTACATTTCCTTTATAGTTTTGACTCACAAAAACTACTTAATCTTAAATGCATAAATTAATTTTTATGAAGAAAATATTATTTATTAAACATGTTTTTTGCAACTAATGTATGAAGTAATTCGAATATTTTCGGAAGTATTTCGTGTCAAATTTGCAACATTATTGCATTAATTGAATTTGAAGATTAAACCTAGATAATTTAATTTTAATAAATGCCTCACTGAAACTATTATTGAAATCATAGACTATGAAAGAAACGATTGCGAATTAAAACTTTATTAAATTACGAATAATTGATAAAATGCAACATTTACGATCATTGAATAATGTTAAAATGCAGAGGTTCGAATGCAATTGGAAAAAATTAATGCCAGGATAGTCTGGTTGGTAAGGCATTGAACCTATGTCAAGAAGTCGTGAGTTCGATCCTCGCAGGTTATAGACTCCCCGTTTGTTAAAATGTGACTTGAGCTCGTTAAATCAGTCGGGTCACTAAGTCCTCCATATTTCCATAACAAATCAATACCTCTTCGGGTTCTGAAATAGAGATTTATCGTTCTCTGGTGCAGGTCAAAATTACGATCTATGGATGAATAAATTAAAGTATGAATATGTCAGCCATATAAACGGGATGTGTATGGTCGAAGTCGTATTCTTGGCCAAAGATGGAGCCACTGAAAGACAAGAAACGCACCATGTGTCTTAAATTTAATCAGTTTTCCCAAGCAGGGTTGGTGATATTGGCAAGTGGTATTAGAAGAAACAACAAAAATTAATAACTGGCATAATTTTTTTCTAAAGATACTGAACATTTCATAATATTAGTTTCCACTATCGAATTAAAATTCCATATCCCACACCTTCAAATATACACATATTTACTGAGAGAAAATAAAATATCCTGGTAGCTACAAACATAATAATATTAAAAAAATTTTTTTTAATAATGCTACCACTTTTTAATTTTTTCCAGGTGTACATGAGCCCTGAAAATAGCATGAAAATATCTATATTCCCTACACTGCTTAAAATCAGTAGTAGAACATTATTTAGGGTTAGTAGAAAGATATTGCTTCAAAATATGTTTTGTTTAAAGGTATTAAAATAATGAAAATAAAAATAAATTATGAAACATATTATAATTTAAAAACTTTTATTTAATTCACTTTTTATCACGATTTGCAACAAAACATCATGCAAACAAAAAACAAATAAGTTTCACACATTTCTATCGATATTTCTCTTTGACGCTTTTTAATATTCAATTCAAAATAATCTAAATCACATTTATTTATAGAAGATATATTTACTTTTAAAACTACAAATTACATGAAAATAACGCCTAAAAAAGCACGTTTCTCTTCTCTCAAATATAATGTAGTGATTAACATTAACAAATATACAAGTACTTAAAATTCTACAGAGCAATAAAGCACCATAAGACAATCACAAAACATGTAATTTTACAGTTAAACAGATAAATTTATGTACATATTTTCATGTTAATTTTTGGTTTGTCATTAATAGTGTCTTTGTTTTTAAAACAACGAAAATATCACAGATGTAGTGCGTGCTCCAGCCTCTGTTTGCACAAAAAACAGAAAATCACAATATATCTTTAGTTATTTACACATTCAATTATATAACACGATAATTTACACTGCAAATCTAACTTCATGCCAAATATACCTTATTCAAAATTTTCTTCTCTGAATAATATAACACGATAATAATCCAGCTCGAGAAAAACATATTTAATTTTGAATTTCCGAAGAAAATCTGACGCATAGCAAATAATTCACTTTTAAATAATGTTATACGATAATTTAGTCTATAAAACTAGCTTATGGCAAATATATCTGATTCAAAATTTCACTTCTGAATAACAAAAAACCGTAATTTCCTGCAAATTTAACTCTAGAAAAATGTACTTAATTTTGAATTTCATCTTTAAATAATATAAAATGAGCGTTACTAAGAAAAATATGACTTATAGTAAATATATTTAATTTATCTTTAAATAATGTTACACGAGAACATATTCTATAATACTAGCTCATACCAAATATATCTTATTCAATATTTCGTTTCTAAATAATATAAAATGATAATTTCCCGCAAATTTAAATCAAGAAAACCGCATTAAATTCAAAATTTCATTTTTAAATAATATGAAACGTTTCTTTAGCATAATTTCTGACTTCCTTTAACATAATTACATAAATTCATTATAATTTCTAAATAAAACGTTGTTTTATTTAGAAATTATGACTTATGGCAAATATATTTAATTCACCTTTAATTAATGTTGCACGATTCTGAAAATCTAGCTCATGCCAAACGATCTTAAATCGGAATTTCATCTTTAAAATAAACCCTGTTGATTTATACTGCAAATTTAGCTTATACATAACACATTTAATTCAGAATGAATTAAATGTGTTTTGAATAATTGAATTAATAAATTTAATTAATAATTAAATAATTTTTTGAATAGTTGAATTAAATTAAGATAATTTATATTGTCAATCCAGATTTTTTTAAAAATATGTCTTAATCAGAGTTCAAACCTTAAATAATAATAGAATTATAACAAACGGAAATGTTTCACTGTTAGAAGTAAATTTTAGTGGTAAAATGTTTACATTTTAATTCCCTTGTAGTTGGTATATGCTGAAATATTCTAATATATTTTAAAAAGTCTTCAAAGAAGATCAAGTGGCTTGAAGGTCAAATCTATTATCATGAGTACCGAATTTATAAATTCTTTTCAGGAAGTAAAGAAAAACATTATGAACGAAAAATTTTATTAACTTAATATACTACTGTTGTAAAAATGATTCATAAGGTGTTCTTTAAAGGTACTCCAAGCGTCAAAACCTATTTCTTTGTAGATTGAAGATTTTGGATATTTGTAATAATAGCCTTTAATTTCTTCCCGCCATCACACAGGATTTGATGTTCAATTCTACCACCTTTCTCAACTTTAATTCGTCATAAATGGATAACATTTGTATTTTTCTCATTTAAATATTAATTTGCGAACCTAAATGTACAGACGGGTGAGAAAATAATACCAACACTTCTATTACTAACTTGTAAGCAATTTTTTTTTGAGCAGATGTTTTGGAAAATTTTAAATTCCAAAACTTCTGGCATATGTTGAAAGATCGTGCTTCCCCCTTCACCGCAAGAATATTCTCAGTGGTAGACGGATCATAGACTAGAGTCCTCTTTTCATCAAGCTAACCGTAAGAGGGTTAGTGGTTTTTCCTTTCCATGCAATCCAAATACGGGTCAGTTCCATCAAGAAGTCCTCCACGATGGCAAATTTCTCACAATCCAGGAGCTCCCTTGTCTTCTGGATTCGGAGTGGAACTATAGTAAACGTAAACCCGAAAATTGAGTCTGCTGTTAAAAACGATGGTTATAATCCGTGGAAAAAAAGTTCCATGAAAGTTTCGTTCGAAGGTAAGTTAAAAAGCTATTAACTTCTTTCTAGCTTTAGTACCAGTAACTTTTAAAATCATTCAATAGCATTGTGATAGTCATGTAAGAATGCTTTTCGAATTATAATGATATTAAAAACGAAAAGAAGTTTTAATCTTTTTATGCTCATTTTGGTTATTGCAAATTTCGCATGGGTAAAAAAATCATCATTTCTTAACATTTCAAGCATAATCTTAGAGATGTGCCAAGAGCTTCGTTAAGTGAAATCTTCTCAAAACATTTATGCCAAAAAAATTGTTTACATAGAGTTAGTAAAGAAGTGATCGTATTATTTTATCCCTCATAGGAATCTACTTTTTTGTCTTTATTTTTGATAAGAATTCTAGAAACATAAATTATGGTCTCTCTTTATAAAGAGAATATTACAAAAAAATACTAGCAAGTTTTGGGGCGTATTTTTATCAATTGGCGACAACATATCGTTTAAAAAAAGTATCATATTTTCACAACAAAATATTTGCGTAAACACATTTGATAGGATCCTAAACGAACCAAGTCATTATTGCTTTTCTGTGGAATAAAATTAAATCTTATTCATAATCGATTCGTAAATGTACTGATCAAATAAAAATAATAATTTGCATTTGCTAATATTAATTTTTGTAGGACTCCAGGTGAATTCAATTTTCTTCTTCAGTTTCTATTCTGAAAAACAATAAAATACAAAGAATTAGACAATTTAAAAATGCATCATTATTGTTTAACATGTTACTGGTAAGTAATAAAAGCTAATAAAAAGAAATATGGAAAAAATTATATATAAATTTTGTAATAAATATACATAAATTTTGTAATAAATGTATAAATTTTGGTATTTCTTTTTTCATTGGTATTTTACTTTTAAGAATTCCGAATTCTAAATAACCGAAAAATATAAAAATTATTGATTGGATACAGATATAATTAAGGGTCTCAAACATCATTACTGCTTAGAAACAAAAATCGGGACCTTTGTGATTCTTTTACGAAACACTTTTTTGGAAACCGCCGAAAATTTATCTGTTCAAATTTCGCAAAAACTTTCCAACATTATTTGTACTTTTCAACATTAAAGACCTGGCGAATATGTTAATCTCTTGTACAGAAAGATAAATATTGTGGTAAAAAAAATAATAATAATCTTTTTAAATTGAAATTTTTTTTTTCAATTTATGAAATTTTAAAATTTGTCTTTTCCAAATTGTGAATAAAATCAGATGAAACAACTTTTCGAAATAATAGAAACCGGTTTTAGCAGCAATAGTACAAAAATCAATTTTCTCGCTTTCGTCAGTTATCTAATTTAAAGTAAATGCACGTACGCTGTTGGCTTCAAAAAAAAAAAAAAAAAGGCAACGCAGAAAACAATTCAAATCTCGGTTTTCGGCTTTTGTCTCAATGGCGACAAATTTCAACTGCAGATTAACCGAAACTGATGAGGAACAAAACCGCCAAAGAAAAGCAGCCAAGCTGAGAGCCAAATTAACCTTATCTTTTGACACAATGTTCTTATTGAAACGAATGAAACAAAAAAGTTCGGAAGCGAGAATAATCTTTTTCTTTTTTTTCTCCCTCTCCAACCCTTCTAATCTCTGATTTGTATTCGAAACATGAAGTTGTAGTTGGCATGGTGGCAGATGATATTTCGTTCTTATGATACTGCAAGTTGGCGATTTTTAAGCATCTGTTTCCTCTTTTAAAGCTTGTGATAAATTCCTACTTATTTTTTTGACAGATTGATTGCCTTTGAATGATAGAATATTTATGGCTGATCTAGTGTGATTGAATATTTAATAAAGATTGCTCAATATAAATATTCTTAGAGTCATTTTTAAGTGTTGTTTCTTGCAGCTGGTCAATGCAGTTATTTGCACTTTTTAAGATAAACTTATATACCTTTACTCCTTTCTTTGTCTAACTTATTTAAAATAATTGGCAACAGTTTAACACGTTCAGGCCGGGGTGAGCCACCGGTGGTTCGTTCGTTCGTTGTAGTGGAACTGGGCGTCTGAGGCCTTACGGCCCCTTTCCCATTCATCTTGAAGTTAAACTTAGAGACATACATGACAAAATTAAAGTTTGGGGAGCAAATGGAGTTCTTAAGAAAAGAAAAATGGCACTTTGCCATTATTAGGAAATGACAAAATTATAAGTAATAAAAATGTACATGAAAAAGGTAAAATTAAAGTACAATGGGAAAATAAACACTAATGAATATTTACAGTTTGGAAATACATACAAAAGGGGGGCGAGTTAAAGGATTGTGAGGATGTGTGTATATGTGTAAGTAAATGTGGCTCTGTTAAGTAGAGACCCGGCCGTCAGTGAGTGTTTGTGTTGTTAAATGTTAGTATGATATCAGAAGTGTAGAAGTGTGCAATGGGTCGAATTTTTGCATCCTCTTTGAGATTTATGCAGTCGAGAATATCATTAAAATTTGAGGTATTGCAGGTGGCGGCTTTAATAAAGAAGTTTCTATTTAATTTGTTGAAATGAGTTAAGATCTCTATGAATGGCGTTGTTGCGGATAAACCATCTGGCTCCCGTGAGTTCTCTCAAGATGTTGTTTTGGAGTACGATAAGTTTTTTGAGGTCTTTTTCGGAGGCGTTACACCAGGCAGCTGAGGCGTACGTCATAATAGGACGTATCATCGAGGTATACAGGAGTTTTTTCAGTTTTAAACTAAGGTGTCGGTTATGAAAAAGTGTTTGAAGTTTGTTGGTTGCTGCATATACTTTATTTTTAATGTTATTTACATGGTCAGACCAGGTCAGTTTTTTATTAATGGTTAAGCCTAAATATATAGCTTTATCAACAATGGGTATAGTGTTGTTGAAGAGAACTAGTTGGTATTTATTAGAGTAGGACTTTCTATTCTTTTGTATTATTAAAAGTTGCGATTTACTAGCATTTAGTTTGAACTTCCAATTTAGGCACCAGTCTTCCACATCATATAACTTGTTCTGTAGTTTTTGAAGTGCATTATCTGGTTTGAGAGATTTCTGCAAGATTCCAGTATCGTCAGCGTAAAACGCCGTGATACTGTTGTGGTCGTCGTGAAATATGGGGAAATCGTGGGTATAAATAATGAACAGTATCGGTCCTAGAATGCTCCCTTGGGGAACACCCGCATTTATTTTTCTCTTGGATGAAACAACACTATTTAGTTTAATATTAAAAGTACGGTTTGATAAGTAGTTATGTATTATTTTTACAATGCCATAGGGAAAGTTTAAATTAATTAGTTTGTACACGATACCAGCATGCCAAACTCGATCGAATGCTTTGCTGATGTCAAGCATGAGAAATGCAGTTGTCTGTTTGTTGTGCAGGCCCTTACCAATGAAGTCAATGATTCGAAGGAGTTGTTTGGTGGTATCTAAGTTTTTTCTGAAACCGTACTGCTCATTAGGCAGACAGCCTAGAGCCACCGGTGGGTCACGCTAGATTGTCTCATCTTGGCAGCGCTTCGGAGTAAAAACTGGTAACAATAAATTTCATTTTTTATTTTTTATCCGGGACTAATAAAAATCCATAACTACCATATGTTTTTAACTGATGCAATTTTTATATTGAATTGCTTCTTCGCAGTGATAATTTTCATTACAGTGAATTGTTATGTTGAGAATAGATTAACTCCTCCCGAATATTATGAAATATTGAAATAGTTCTTCTACTAGTATTTTCTCTTTTCCCGTAACAGTATTCTCACTTCTCCCGGCGTGAACGTGTTACATTCTCATGGCTGTTTTAGAAGTTTAAAAAAAAAAAAATAAAAAAAAAATAAATAAATAAAATTTACCTAAAACTCGAATTCATTTAAAATTTGAACCTGAAATAATATGGAAAGTCCAAAAATAGCTTAATGGGTGGCGTTGGAGGGGAGGACGATGGATATATGTCTCTCTCAATAATTAGAAATCCCTAAAAGTTCCCCCCATATTTCAGACAAATAAACAAAATTTTCATGAACCATTAGTAATTTAAATTCATCAAAGTTAAAATTAATGAATCGTTTTGCAGATAAAAGAAATTTTTTTCTTAAGTAAATGAACTATTGTAACTGTGTATTTATGCAGCGAATATAGTGCTATACCATTTGATTTAGAGTGATTTTTTATTCTACCACAGCGTTTAAGAAAAGCAGAGACAGTGTGCGAAAAAAAAAGGTCCACTCTGAATAACTTTTGATCTAATGATCCGATCTTCACGTCCTAAGACTCAATCTTAATAACTCGAGGGGGTGACCTCGAATATGCTAATTAATAAGTGCAGACGATATGTTAAGTAACTAAATCAGCCAGAAAAGCGCACTTTTTCTGAGTAAACATACCTCTTCTGAACGAATTTCTAAAATTCGAATTCTGGATTCGAATTTCTGAAACCCAAAATATAAGGGGAATATGCAATCTGGGAAATATGGTCCCAATAGTTTGGACAGGAGAGTGCTCCAATGTTTGGACCCCTTAATGTTAATTTTGTTTTTTGTGTATTTCGCCATATCTCGAGAACTTTTTAAGAAAATTGAAAAAAATTTGCAAACAATTATTAAATTCGTTTATCCAAATGTAATTCACGTAAAAACATAACTTTTAGTAAATATTTATTATTTCGTTTATTAATGGTTGAAAAAATTTTAAATTGTAAGAAATACAATTTTTTACATCGTTGTAAAGAACATATTTTTACAAGGCAAAATGCTAAATTTTGGCTAAATTTGCTGAATAGTTCCTGAGATATTGATTTTCAAACAAGCCCGATATTTAAAATCATCATATCATTTTTAGATGATTCAATGATGATGTGACCTCCTGTGAAATAAAACAAGCTCTGCTTATTAATTATTATTAATTCATTACCATTGTAAATATTGTGGAGCAAGTACTCACGACTGGGTTCCAATAAATAATAATGATTCATAAAAAGATAATTATGATTCATAAAAAATAATAATAATTCACTGTAGTACCTTTATATTCCTTGGGAGATTAAGTTGAAATTGTTCTGAAGTTGTGAATTGTGGAAGATGCTTCAAATTTGCATGCATAAAGAATGCAAAACTTTCCAAGAAAAACTTGCTTGTATTGAAATATTGCACATCAACAGCCGTCTTCAAAGCCGATAAAATTTGCTTCATGTTTTTCTTCACAGTCATAAAATTTGCCTCATTATTTCTTCATTTATTTCAAAGTATCTCCTCTATGTTACCGTTAACAAATATGTACAGATGATATTTATCTGCGGTAGAATACGTCCCCATTATGTTCCGATTGAATTTGACTATGATATCTTCTTACAATCTCTGTTTGGTAGTTCTAATTAGATGCATTTTGCCTCCATACTTTATTGATGCAATAATTATTTCTGTTCCGAATAGATTTCGATTCAGAAAACAAAAAAGACATAAATTAAATCAGTTTGGAATTGTACTTGTTTTGAAATTTATTTTCAAGTTTTTGTTTTGGTCATCGAGTACAATTTCAAGCCTCCTAATCTTCTACTGAAATGGACTGAATAAGGAACAAATCTCAAATTACGTTTTGAGATCAAGATTTCTTCCCATTAGCTGACAAGGAAGCACGTGATCAACATTAAAATATATGCTATGCACACAATCCATGGGCTACTTATCCCTCAAAGTAGATAGCGTAACTGGCATACCTTGTTGCCTCTCAAGTCCATTCACCATGTTCTCCATACTCTTTAAATCACTAGACGTGGACCCAACCGAGCTAGCCCCAGCGTCTGAACCAGGTGACGAAGAGCATTTAAAATGACTACCTTCATAGGGTGAGCCAGTAGACATGGGTGATCGAAGTTCAGGAGCCAGTGGTTGAGGTCCAGGCACAGAAACAGGCGTAGTGACCATTGGATATGGCCAAAACCTTTGTTGGTGGTACTTCAGGGCTTCTGTAGTAGGCGAGTAACTTTGGTTGAATATGGATTGGGACATTGCTAAATGAGCGTTCAAAAGCAAATTTGGATGAAACGAAGACGTCGATGGGTTTTGCCCGAAATGTCCAGGTAAAGAAAATGGCGTGGGGTTGCCACCGGGTAAGAACACGCCAGGAGGAGGAGGTGGCATGTAAAGTCCGGAAGAATAGAGGTAGGGCATCATATGAGATGGGGGAAAGGAGGAGGAAATGCTAAGACCTGGTCCACCCTCGCTGATGATAGGAGTTGGTTCGTTAGGTGATATTCCATTTGATTCGAAGTTGGTTGGAAAGGATTCTTTTAAGGGTGAGTCACCATCGGTGTCTTTTGATCTTAGTCGGTTGCTTGGAACTGTTTGAAAGAAAGAATGGCATTAAAGAAAGCTTTAAAAATGTATATAATAAAAAGGTTTAAGATTCAGTTTAGTTTCAGTGATTACAAAACTAAAAATTTATTTAAAATTAATTGTTAAGGAGTTTGAGGCAAATATAGTGATAGCCCACATTGTCTTCAAAAGGAGACACTTTTTTATCCAACCGCTCCTTCTTATAATTTGCAGATAGGATTTCTCGAAATGTCCATTAGATAAAATTTCTTTAAACAGGACCATGTTATTGCCCACATAGAAGCCAATGTATTTTTCCATTTTAAATGCTCTTTAAACAAGTTTGAAAATTTGACTTATCCTTACAATTTCACAATAAAAATTTGAATTTAAGATGTATTGAACTAATTAATCTATACGCTCAATTTAAATTTCGTATTATTACAAAGTCGTTAACAACTAATTAGTGGTATAATCCCAAAAGGAATATTCATCCTATAATAGAATGATATCTAATTTCCAAATAATTGGAATGCATAACATTAATCGTTTTAATAAAAATTCCCGTAATGAAAATATTAAACTTACTTTATAGATTTATAGAATATTATTAGTCTTCATATCAAAAAATATTTATGTTTAACAAATTTTGATAAAATGTCATTTTTTCTTCATCTGAAAATGATTTTAAATATGGCATTACTAATAAACTTAATGGATAACATTTCAATAAACTAACCCTTTCATTTTTAATGGAATTAATTATTATATGGAATTCGATGCTTAAGTTTTATTGATATTTTTTTTCTATTCAAAATATTTGGCAATTATCAAAATTGCATTTCGCAATAGTACTTTACTGGAAAACTAATTTAAAAAAAAATAAATATAAGAAAAATTAAAAAAAACTATATATTATTTTAAATTTTGTTACTGCGATCGGTGTTGTCACGTAATAGTGTTACACTTTTTTTTATCAATAAGCTTAATCCTTCAGTTTTTGATAAATTTATTTTACAGAATTTATTGCAAAATTGTAGTGGCTTAAAATTGTTACAGAAAAAGAAAAGACATTTGCTATGCTAAGAAAGTAAATTTTCTTTCAATACATCTGTTAAAATACACCTCTTTTTTTCGATATTATATTTTTTTTAACACTAGACTTAATATTACAAATAATCAATAATGTATTTATTTTATAGAATTTATCATAAAAATGATGTGGTTTAAATTGTTACAAAAAATACTCGTTTTTCATGCTAAGAGAGAAAATTTTCTTTCAGTACAGCTGTTAAAATAAAAGTTAAATCTAGTTACATTTCTCACAAAATGAGCAACCTAATTTCTCAACTGAAAAAAATACGCGATTTTGCTTATCACTTAATCTGCAAAGAATTTATTTGAACTGCTGCCATTCCTTTCACCCAAATGCAAGAAATTAATGATAAGTAAATGATTAGAAATAATGAACTGTTTTGAGGAATTTTAGTTATTTCAGAGCAATTAATTTAGGACATCAAGCCACGTTTAATTTCACTTATTTTAACCATTTACCTACCGGACGCTTATTTTGCACTAATGGAAAAAAAATGGCTTTGTGAAAAACGAGGTAACAGGTTTGGATATAAATTAAATGAAAAATTTCTTCAGCTAGCAACTAATTTTATTTAAACTAAGTATGTTGCTAAAATTTATATATCGTGTTCTGAATTAAACTATTTTATTTCAGAACAAGATCTAATTAATAGATTTTGGTTGTTAGGAATATTCAGTTTTTCCAGTTATGAGTGCAAAGAATTTAAGATTTGAGTTACAAGTCTTTAACATTTTAAAAAAGACGCATGTTCCAAAAATGGAATAGAAGCATCCTAAAGATAATCCAGAAAATAGAACCTTATTAACATTGGAAAAAATTTGCCTTCGTGGAGGACTTTTTTCTAGAACTAATCCGCATTTGCGATACATGGAGAGCAAAACCACTGAAATCTCCCACGGTTAGCCTGACGGCAAAGGAACTCTAACCCATGATCCTTCCACCCCTGAAGATATTTTAAGTCAGCACTGTGGCCGGGATGAGCCAGGTGCAGTCGTATTGAGCAGCCATCGCTGTGATTCGAACTTAAGTCACCTCATCTGGAGGAGAACACTCTATCAGCTGGTTCTCGATTTTTGTTGTTATCAATGATATCCATGATAATGCAGTAATGATGTGCATATAGTTACCTTCTTGATCACCGGTAAAAGTGAAGCTTGGTGCAAGATCTGCCACCCCTCCAACGTCGACTTTTTCATCTTCTTCGTCACTTGTGTCATCGTCCATTCTCTGACTATCATTCAATCCACCACTTGACCTGTCACGTGACGTACTGTCTTGAGATAGCAGCATGCCCTGTCTTCTATAAAAGGCAAAACGTTGATTGAATTAGAGTTTATAGTATTAGTTTCAATGTTCTAAAAAAATAATAAATAAATAAATAAAATAAATGAATAAATGAATTAAATTAATCCTATTTTAATGAGTAATGATCATTTAAATATCATCGAGATCAAGCAAAACATCTATATTGATATATTCAATGCTAAGATTATCTAAGATAGCAAGCTAAGATATTTTTTTTTCAAATGTAGATTATTCGTGATTTTTCAAAATCAGGTTTAAAGCTGATGTTCTGAGCAGAGACTGATTTATCGTAAGGCTTGAGAGCCCCAGGTCTAGGAACCTCTCAATAATAGTATAAATTTTTCTTGTGCGTTTTTTTCTTTAAGAATTGTTTATGAGAATAATAACTTATATCAGAATAATGAGTTAACGAAGATTGCAATAAATAGAAGCTCAAATTTGCTAATATATCGTAATTTACTTACGTTATAAATAATTAAAAATAAACTTCATAAATAAACTATAGGATTCTTAACTATTGGGCCGTTCGGAAAGTGCGTGCCAATTTTCGATAGACGGAATTCCCAAAAGGTCGGGGNGGGGGGGGGGGGGAATCTTGAAGTGTCAGCAGAAATTATATTATAAAATTTATTTCTTGCTTTTGAAGAAAAGAAAAAAGGGAAAATGTAAAGATTCTCTTCAGGATACGTTTCTTTAGATAGTGATATTTCGAAATAAAGAATAAATATCCGAATACAAAAATTATTCCTTATTATGTATCTATATCCCCAGAAAATATAAAAATGCAACTGAAAACGAAATTGAGATGAAAGAAAGAAGCAGAAAACAAATTAATCGATATGGAGGAAAAAATAAAAATACCTTAAAAATAGATATATCAATCTTACAGTTAACGAAAATTCGCTAAGAAGAAAAATAAATGTGCTTACAGCTTATGTCGAATAAAATAATTGTTAAAGAATATATTTGGTAAAAATATGAAGTTAATAATATTTCAGCGCTGCCGTCTATGAAATGAACTCTTTACATCTTTAATTAAAAAGTTCTGTAATTCAATTTTGCATCAAAGTGTATAAAAAGAACTGTTCTTTTGAAAGGATAACAGGCACAAATATATTCAAACAAACCTGAAGAAATTATATATCATCTTCAAAATAAAAGTGTAATGAGATTTTGCAATATATACTGTTACAGATACTTGTAACAGTATATGTTACAAATTACATGTATGGGTGCACATCTTTGAGAAATAATAAGCAAAGCGAACTTTTGAAATGATCCGATTTTACATTTTTTTAAGTCTTGCAAACATTAATTAATATTCCTTTTTCGTTTCTAATCGTTTAAGTTGCGGTTAATTTAACAACGATTAACCTACCTTCTACAATAACTGAAAGATAATTTTAATTTGAAATTCCCAAAATGTATTCGAAAAGGAGTAAAATCCACTTTGAGGTTAACGATGTATCCACACAAAGAAATTCCAACAGGACATACCAAAAAAACCCTCCATACTGTATATTCTGTTGAAGTGACATCCATCTTGATGAACCCTAAAAAACCCTGCACCACCCTCCTCATTTACTTATTCTTTTTTTCTTTATTCAACTTTTCCTTCGCCTTATATTCAATCACTAACTTCACAAATGAATAAAATTTCCTGCCATTACGAGAAGAAGAGCAAGCGATTTCAGAAATTGCTAAGAAAAAAAAAGGTCTCAACCCTAACTTGTGATGTCATCCTGTGTGTGGGGTGGAAGAGGGGAGTAATGTGAGTGGGTGGGGTACAATCACGAACGATTTCGAACAAAAGAAAGGGGAGAATAACAGAACGCCCCCGTGCGGAGGCGAATGAAGTTATCTGTATCCCCCTTTTCCATAACAAAAGATGGGGGCGTGTGTGTATGCATGATTGGAAGGCTGTATGTTTTACAGTTATGCATGGAGTTTATTATGTGAGCCCTCTATGCTACCTCCCTTGCTATCTAAAAGAAATAGCTATAGAAGTGCAGACTAGATAGCACAACAAGAATGCGGTTATAGATCTTATAAGTGTAATACATAGATTTTCAGAAGGTAAAATTCGATGCGTTATATACCTGTAGATGATGGTTAATCTATCCTTGTAGATTTAAAGAAAATTAGGCTTATTAATTATATGAGGAATATTAATGAGCCCAACTTTGTATTATGCCTCACTTCTTCCAAACCTGAAATTTTTACATCAAACTGTTTCACAATATTGTTTCCATATAGGTACTGCGTAAGCTTATGAAACATCCACTAAACAGCATAATACACTGAGAAACATTTTATTACAGCATGGAAGATGTGATATTTTTCAATAAATATCGCTGTCCTGTACAAAATGAAATTTTGGATAATCACTATATTGTCTAAAGCAACTTGTGTTTAAATTTAATGCAAAAATTTTCAGACTCGAACTCATTCGAAAAAGACAAAATTAAAATTATGGATAAGAAAAGGAGATACAGCCTAGCAGTCTGAATATTTCCAAATGTGTATCGAATTGGTTGAAAACTTTTAATGTGTTCAAATTATTTTTTGAATTTTAAATTTTTAAAAGTTTTACAAATTTTCACTAAGTTATATCTTTTTAAATCTTTGCTCATAGACTCCAAGAATATTCCGTACCGAATCCTTTATATATATATATATANCATATGAAAGTTCGTCGGGACCACGAAACACTATTGTAATAAAGGGAGTTATTGCTGTATTGGATATCGTAGTAGTAAAAATTCACTGTATATATAATACTATATATATATATATATACTGTTGCATGGATGCCACGGGTGACATAAAATGTTAAAAAGGTAACTAGTAAAAAGTAAAAAAAGTATTAAAATTTACAACTTCGTCTAGCATTGTTTAGTTTACTTTGAAAGTGTATTTAAAGAATGTTTTCGCTTTCCATATAAATAATTTGCCTCTGTAAGTAATGGTGATAGATAAAAAAATAATGAAATACACAAAATAAATGAGAAAAATTTTTTTAGTTCCTACCACTTCTTGCATTTTTAATCGCCTGTGGCCTGTGGCATCCCTGCTGTTGGCCCGATTTGAAAGATCATCATGGAAACTTATAGAAATGGTTTCTTTTTTATCCATGGTTTCATTTTTATGGTTTCATTTTTATTATGGTTTCAATGCAATGGTTTCATTTTTATCCATAAGCTTTAGATCGACCAAAATAAGCGTAGGAAAATCTTCTTTCCCAAGCAAAGTCTACTCTTTAAAATCTTTTATGCAAAAAGCTTACTTGTCGGCTGCCTAGTAATTGCAATACAAATAAAGACCACCCCTAACTCAATGCAAAATCAATATATATTTTCCTCATGATTTTCTTAAGACTCAAATACAATAAATACGGTGATAAACACCCGCATGAGTAAATATAAAATCACTTAAATTTCAAGGACATGAACGGGAGAATCACTTAATCCTCTTTACATACCCTTCAAAGGACCCAAAAATAAAATAAACACCTACATAAAGTTCCATTTAATGCTGCGAAAGTGTTAAACTCAGGGTTGAAAAGTCAAACATCGCATAACATAACGCCTCGCGTCGCATAATATATCGCTTAGTAAGCGGTATGAAATTTACTAAGCTAGTTATATGCATAATATTCGAATGAAATAGGATTAAGGGGCATCAGAATGGGTGAGTGTTGCTGGTAGGGTGTTGATAAAGATATAAGAGTTTGAATTACAACTGTATGTGTTTTAACTCTAAGAAGTTTATTCAACTTATGGATGTGTTTTAATAGATTCGTCGCATTAATTTTATTGCTTGAACTCGAATAAAATAAGGTGACCCAGCTTTTCTGCGGATAAAGATTTTTTACAAGAGACTGTTTGTGAAATCTTATTTTTAGTATTTAGTGTAAATGGGTCAAAAAGATGATCGTATTTAAGTTTTTAATAAAATATTTGATTTTAAATGAAACGTATCTTAAAGAAATGTTCCTAGTGGAGTTTATAAGCTGGGCATTCAGTGAGTTTTGAAATTGTTGGTAAAATATAAGGTATTTTTGGATCATTACTTTCATAAAATATACCAGGTAACGTAAGCTTTTTGGAAAAAATTAAGGAAAGGATATATGTGAGGCTATTATAAGCATTACATATTTCCTAGTTTTTAGAATTTTTTTGTATGTCTGCCATTATAGGCATTTCATATTTTCCAGCTTTAGAAATTTCCTTATTTCCATAAATTTGATTATATTAATCATTCTTATTTCTAATCTAATTCAATTAAAGCAAATATTTAATTTTTATCACGTTTTCTTAAAAGCATATATAAATAATTTTTTCCCCTTCCTTTTTCATGCACTTACATTGAATTTAAAGGTTCGCCAATATATTGATTGTTCAGAAAAATGGAATTTCATTAGAATTGGATTAAAAAATACTAAATTCAGCGGCGCGACAGCCCATAGAGGGCCAAGGCCTACTATGCCCATCTCAGTTTTCTTGACCTTGGGCTCTGGGGTGCACGAGCAGATGTTCCGGTCAGGTGGTCAGCCGAACGCGTGGTCAGCCGCCAGTGTTTAGTTCCTAAGCATGCTTGGTACTCATTTATCGACTCACTGAAGGGATGAAAGGATGAGTCAACCTTGCCCGGTCCGAGGATCGAACCAGGGACCTGTAGCACGACAGCGCGAAGCGCTACCGCTCAGCCACCGGGCGTCAGAATTGGATTAAGAATGATAAAAATAAATTAACAGTATGAAATTAAAGAAATTTTAAAAGCTAGGAAATGTGTAATGCCTATTATGGCATCATAATATCAATGTTGTTATGAAGAAGCTGAATATTTTAATCATTAAAATTTCCAGTTTTGAGATATAGATATTCATACCTCCTNTATTTGTGTAAGTCAATGGCTGCCGGACAGATTTGAAATTATTACTAAAATTCAATACATAAAGAACTTTGACAATATCGTGAACATCTCTTGAAAATAGTTAAAATCGAAGTCAAAGTACTTCAGCTCGGTGAAAAGTTTTGTTAATGTATGGTTTAAGGCTAATTAACCCTTTAACGGGCCCTTTATTTCTAGTAAAGGTAAATTAAAGTATTTTTGGAATTGAAATTGTTTTAAGAACAGTAATTGATATAAAAAATAAAAAAAACTCATTTAGTTTATAAAAATGCCATTTTTTTGGTGGTAAATCTATTTAACATGACCTAGTAGGAACTTACTGCTTTTACTTTTCTTTATTTATAAAATAAATTCCTTAAATGCTACAAATTTCAAAAGGAATTATGTATTTTCTAACTTTAATACGTTTTTTAAAAAGTGACAAATGGTTACCAATTTTATTCAAACCCACTTCAAGAAAGCTGAAGTTATTGAAAAATGGAAACCTTAATCAAAAGTGGTAAAACGTGGTGGTAAGTATACTTACCACGGCCTTCAAAAGGGTTAACTCGATCCTCAAAATTACGTAAAACTTAATTTTTCTAAACAAATTAGTATTTTTAATTTGATTACAATAATTTTCGGTAGATGGGCTAAAAAATTTAATAAAACTATTTTCGCGTGTTCTATATTGCATTAATTTCTTCAAACCATTTCAATAACGATAATAATGTTAAAAAAAACTTAAAAATTTACTCGAATTATATATTTCTAATAATCTTGGCTTCGCCGGTCACCGGTGACCCCCATGGCATTCAGCAAGTTAATACACAAGGATAGGATGTGTTAGATTTAAAGTGAAAGCAAAAATAAATCTGTCAAATTAGCGATGCACAAACTTGAGCAACCGCATTTTATTTTTTATTATTCTGATTTTGATTCCGTATGAATACTTTATAACTCTCCCGTCCCGAAAAGGTTAAATAATAGAAAGAAATATATACAGACATTTTTTCTTCATATTGGTGTTTTTTATGATCGCAATGAAAGATAACATTGAAAATGTTAGATAATGTGAAAAAAAAATTAATAACGCTTTTTTAATGAGAATTAAATTCAGCAGAAAAAGCACTTCATAAATAAATTAATTACGGCAAATGAGAGAACAAAATCATGTATTTTGATAACAAGAAATAGTTCCGCGTTTGAATTCATAAATTATCCTAATACAAATTTATTGTTCTGTGAGAGCAAAATGTGTATTATTCTAAATCTGACTTCTGCCGTTTTACTGTCTGACTTATGAGATAATCTCTAGAGTTTTCTCATAAGGTTCTTTATCTCGAGAATCCATCAGATGGCAAGGAGGACGCTTGAGTGCAGTCAGAAATGACAACTTGGAATCCATTTATCAACTTTATTGAAGTTAGCACGCCAGAAATTCGGATTCTTATTGCTCGCTGTCAAGAAGCCAATGAGCCATACCTACAGCACATTTCGACTTCTGGGTATTATTTAAACAGAGATCCCGATGTGTGTATATACAGGGTGTTTGACCTTCTCTACAAGTGTTTTGGAAGCATAATATCTTTTTCATGAACAGAAAACATCTTGCTCCAAAGCAAATATTCCAATGGAGAAAAGCCATTGTTAAAAAAGGATTTAATCCGTTAATTTCTGAAAAGAAGGCTAATTGCCTGAAGCTCTTTGTTGGATCAAAATTGAAAACGGTTTAATTAATTGTTAATAGCTTGTAATATAAAGAGAGTGGGAACAAAGCTCTTCTGTGTAACTTAGCTGTTGAAAAAAAAATTCACAGTGTCCAGAAGTTTCAATATTTTTTAATACAATGACTAATCTTTCGAATACAGTTTTAAAATTTTAGAATGATCAACAAAGTTCTTCTGTATTGCTCAGCTGTTGAAAAAAAATTGCAGTGATTAGAAGTTTTATTATTTTTTTGTATAATGACTGATCATCAGAATATAGTTTTAAAATTTTAGAATGATCAACATAGTTCTTCTGTATTACTCAGCTGTTGAAAAAAAATTTGCAGAGATTAGAAGTTTTATTATATTTTTTGTATGATGACTAACCATTAGAATATAATTTTAAAATTTTAGAATGATCAACATAGTTCTTCAGTATTACTCAGATGTAAAAAAAAAAAAAAAGAAAAATTCCCAGTGATTAGAAGTTTCACTATTTTTTCAAATAATGACTAATCTTTCGAATATAGTTTTAAAATTTTATAATGATCAACAAAGTTCTTCTGTATTGCTCAGCTGTTGAAAAAAAAATTGCAAAATTTAGAAGTTTTATTATTTTTTTGTATAATGACTAATCATTAGAATATAGTTTCAAAATTCTAGAATGATCAACATAGTTCTTCTGTATTACTCAGATGTGGAAAAAAATTCCCAGTCATTAGAACTTTCAGTATTTTCTCAAATAATGACTAATCTTTCAAATATAGTTTTAAAATTTTAGAATGGTCAACAAAGCTCTTCTGTATTGCTCAGAGGTAGAAAAAAAATTGCAGTGATTATAAGTTTTATAATTTTTTTTTTGTATGATAACTAATCCTTCGAATATAGTTTTAAAATTTTAGAGTGATCAACAAAACTCTTCTGTATTGCTCAGTTGTTGAAAAAGAAATTGCCGTGATTATAAGTTTTATTATTTTTTTGTATTATGACTAATCATTTTAAAACAATCATCTAATAATTTTAAATCATTTTAATATAAAATTTTAGAATGATCAGCAAAGCTCTTCTGTATTGCTCAGCTGTTGAAAAAAAAATTACAGTGATTAGAAGTTTTATTATTTGTTTGTATGATGACTAATCATTAGAATATAGTTTTAAAATTTTAGAATGATCAACAAAGCTTTGTATTACTCCGCTGTTGGAAAGAAAAATATCAGTGATTGGAAGTTTCAATATTTTTTTTTTAATAACGTCTAGTATTTCGAATATAATTTTCTCATTTTAGAATGATAATAATAAATTAAACAAATTGTCTTCTAGTAGCGTGATTTGAATGAAGTAAAATTTCAGAAAATTGCATGCCAAATTCAAAATATTACTCCAAAAATATTGTATAAGTTCAACAAATTGTTCAAGCATTTCTTAGGTTGTTACTAAATCACATAAGTAAAATGAGAAATGATGATTACTTACTTTTTTTCTCTTTTACCAGCACCAGTATCTCTAAAGCCTTTCGCAAAAGGGTTATTGTCGATTTTTAGTTGAGTAATCTGAAATCAAAGCACGGATTTAAATACTGGTACAAGATTTTAACCTTAATAATTATGAAAGTTTAAAAAAAAATCCTTTGAATCTCTGTCTGTTTATGTTGTCATAACAACAATAATTTGGCGGAAAAAAATAATAAAAAAATTACTCTCATTTAGAAATGCCTGAATCATTTATCCATCAGTAAATAATATTTTAATCATAAAGCATATAAGTTGGAGTAATAATCTAGTAGAAGATTCAATCAGCAACCAAAAGGTCAGCTGACCACAATGTGATACTACAAATATTAAACAAGTTCATGATTGATGGGATAAGGGCAACACTACCTGGAAGAAAGAAGGCCTCAGCACGAATCAATTTAGTAGTCCGATGTAACGAACATAAACTGCGCAGTGGATGAAAAATAAAATCACGTGTGGACTACTAAATGATCAGATTTCTTGTTCATAGTAACCGGAGCTGAGACCTTACATTTTCTAGCAGGTGTTGCTAAGGGGCCGATTCTCGAACCAGGTGCCCAGTTTCAGTACAATACTGAGACTAGAAGTAGTGAACGGTTGAGCATAGTGATCAATTAACTGTGGGTCACAAGTAATATTTTTGTGATTCGAGTGTGGCTATTACTTAAATAAATTGTGGGGGAGAGAGAGTATTTTGGGTGTAGTTTGCCGACCACTGGTTAAGTAAAATTTTACACGAATGAAAAATAAAATAAAAGACGAAAATATTTTTACCAGGATTCTTCTAAGTCACAGAAATTTTGCCGCATTTTTTACGTTTATTATATACATTATTGTGAATGGTGCTATTTAAGCAAAAAATATTTTTACCTACCTTTTCGTTTTGATAAGCAGTGACGGCGATGAATTCTGTTTCCTTGAAGACGTACGTTCTAAATGTGGAATAAGGAAGTTTCAAGATGTCGTTTGCCCTCACCAGATGGAACCTGGGTTGGTACTTGTGCATCGAGTTCAGGATCGTCTGCGTTATCAGCAAAAGAACAACAGAAAACATTGTGATAACGAGAAGTTTACAAGTAAATTGCTGTACATTTATTACTATTATGCAATATTATAATTATATTCGTCGTTGAACAGCTGACCCAATTTTTGGGTTTGCTACAACTAATGTTCAACTCCGTAGAACCCGATCTAGAAAACAAGGGAACTCCCGGATCAAGTATTGAGAGAAATTTGCTTTCGTGGAGGACCTTTTTGATGGGATAGACCCGAATTGCGTTACATGGAGAGGAAAACCATGAAAACCTACCACGGCAAGGGGACCCTCTACAACTGAAGATATTTTACGTCAGCACTGTGGTCTGTGCTTGCCCTGTGCGGAAGTCGAATCGACCAGCCATCGTTGGAATTCGAACCCGGTTCACCTCATTCGAAGGCGAACGCTCTCTACTATTCAATAGTTTTTTTTTCTACGTAGTAATAAGTGCAAAAAAAATTTTTTTTTTTAAATAATAACTAAGGGTTTAAATTTGCGCTGTTTTCTTTCCTAACAATCCTATAAATTTTAAAATGCGATGACAAAAATTAAGCAAACAAGATCACCATTACATACATTGATTACTCTTTAAAGGGAATATATTTGTATGATAATTAGATTAAACAATAAAAAAGCATTTAAAAAAAAAGAAATTTATTTCGCAAATAGTTTTGTACTTCGATATTTTGTTGTAATAATCATTCTGTTTCACGATATTTTGTTCACTGAATAACTAGGTTCTTCGATGTTTTGTTCATAGGAAAATTCTGTTTTACGATATTTAGCTGTAGTGAGATTCTGTTTATGTTGTTTTTCTGCGAAATTTCAAGATGCTATAATTTGCCAAGGAGATAATTTTTTTTTCTGGCAGCGTTTTATTTGTACATTATTTTGTTCGTGAGATCTGTACTGTATATTTTTAAGCAACTTTTTGGTTCTTTCAAACTATTAGTGAGAAAATATTCTTTTTATTTTTTTGCTCTTTTTTTTGTTGTTAAAATTAAAAATTGCTGCAAAATTAAAAATTGTCTAAATGTTTTAACACAGAAAGTGACGTTTTGGGAATATTTTGAGGATCATCCCTGGTTGTCGCGTTGCTCAAAATGTGTTCAACCACAATATGGTTTAAATTTGTTTGAACCTTAATACGATAATATGAACGATATTTTAGTATTTTTTAAACTTGATTTCATGATATTATTGTTCTACTTTGACGGAAACATGGCTCAATCTATCACCTTATTAAGGAAGTATCAGATTTGTACCGTATTATGGTTCAAAGTACTGACATTATAGTCCAATATCAAATTAGTTATTCTAAGAGTGTAATAGGAAGTTTATTTCGTTAAAAGAAAAAAAATTATAAAAAAGAGAGAGAGAGAGAGAGAGTTTTAAACTTCATTTAAAGAAATGTTTATGCAGTTTATGAGTATGTAGAAATTCTAAAAAGACGGAACTATCTCATAAATAAACAAACTGATGATCTTTTTCCCCGATTCATAGAAAGTTTATTTAGTTTTTATCATTCGGGAAGATAAGTTATCAAATCCACTCAATTAGAGTGTAATTTATAGCAGTATCATTATCTTTTCGAACGATACGTTACGTCAGTAAGTAATAGGGTATTATTTTATGAACCTGATGTGATACCTTCATAAATAAAGCTATCATTTATGATTTGTTTACCGCAAACCTAAAACTCATTTACAAAAGTCGTATTTCATTTTTACAATATTATTCCGCATTTTTTACCGACTACATTTAGAATCCAACTTTCGGTGATGTTGGAAAAAATATATAAGTTACTTTTTTTTCTTCAAAAATATCTTATAAAATAGACTAAACATTGAATCACTCTTGTTACGATCGTAAATATTTCGAGAAATAAAATATAGTAAAGTCATATTTATTCCATTTAAGGTTGTTTCTCGAAGTCTCCGTTGTCACATGATATGATACTTTTTTCCGAATAATATGCTATTTTATATAACTGCTGTGAATTTGTTACAGTTACTTTTAGGACAGGCTTAGCCTATCTGAAGCCAGCACTGTCTATATCTTTGATATTTTTCCTCTGCGAAAAAAAATGTCACCAAATTTGCGAGTTTAAAAAAATTTAATAACTTAAAAAATATTTGTTCGTTCTAAAGCCCAGATAATTTTTTACATCAAGAGTTGACATATACAGTTTAAAATTATAACTTTGCTTAATAAAGCAGTTGAACTGTGACTTTTTTATTATCCTGGGCGAAAGAGCTTCAAAAAACCTAAGGAAATGCTATACCAGAGAAGAAATTTCTTATGGCGAATTCTACTTTAGAAAAAAAGTTCTGTTCTGTTACGTTTAGAAAAAAAATGAATTCTGATAAATCTTGCGGCCGAATTTCGTCTAGATAAAAATTCGCTTTTATATTGCTATAAAATTTTTTAAAAATGATAAAAGAAAAGAAATGGACGGCTATAAACTTTAAAAATGATTATTAGGAAAATATATTTCGTTATTAAAGAATTAAGTTGTTTTATCTGAATTTGAAAAGTGCTGTGTGAAATACTATTGCAATTTTTATAAGTATATGTCTCTTTCATAATTTTGATTAAAACTTTATATTGCAATAAAAAAAAAATCATTCCCCTTTCTTTGGCATTTTACTTTAAATAATTCCGTAAAGGAAATCGGAATAATAAGTAAATAATGTAATATTGATCGGATCTAAATATAATTACATATTTCAAAAGTTTAAAAAAGAAATGATTATTAAAAACTCTTAACTTCCGAAAATTCCTTAACTGTTCCAAGGAACCCTGGGGTTCCACGGAACAACATCGACACTGAACAAAATTTCGTTTTACAATTGCCATGATTTTTGGTGTCACAAAAAACTAAATGCATTTTTAAATAAAAAATTGTAATTATCGTACAAAAAATTATATAAAATTGACAAAACAGCAATTTTTTGAAAGAATTGGTGCAAATGTATTACTGAAAGTGTACTTGTTTTTTAAGCGAAAGTTTTTTGCAATGGAACCATTAAATTGAATTTATGAGCACGAAAATATGCCTTGTTAGTAAACAAAAAAGCAAAAAATGAATCGATAAATAGTTGAAACTATAACAGTTGTAAAGTTTATAAAAAAAATGTGACTTCATGGCAGTTTAAAGCACAAGAAATAGTGACTAATCGAAAACGCAGTAACGCCATTTTGAAGGTAGTAGCCTTCTTTCATGGGAATGTAGGATAAAGATGATAAAAAATGTAGAAATAACAAAAAAGACATAATATTTTTGTTTAGATTAACATAATATTTTGTATAGATTACAAAAAGTAATATGTTTGTACATTTTAAAATACATAATATTAATTTATAACATAACATTTACTTTTTTATAATAGAAATTCGTATAAGGTTTGGTCAATGATTTAATGAATTGACATTTAATTAAGTGACAATGGTTATTAAATAAATTATATGAAAAATAATTCGATAATTTTTTTATATTATTAAAATAATTCGACATTTTATAATTATTCATAATTCCTATTTTTTAATGTTAATTATACTAAATATATCATATTGTGATATTAAGTATAATAAAGCAACCACGTTATCTTTCTTAATCAGTTTTACTAAAATTTAAATATTTTCATAATCAGAAACCTTTTGTATTATTCCCTATTACTTCAGGAGAAGGATATTTAAAAATATTCAATAATGCAAATAAATTAAAACCGATTAGAATTCAATTTCAAGTTCATTAAAATTAATGCAATTTTGCGAACGTTAACTGAATCAACATTTCAATTGAACTCACGGAATCTAATTTGAATTTATATAATGAATAAAACAATAAATTTTAATATTTCATTAAAGCTTAATTTTGGATACAAATCTAATTAAAGTATATTAATATTTGAAATTTTTTTTTTTAGATAAAATGCTACTGAATTAGTTATTAATTTCAAGCATAAAAGCTTGTTTAACAAATGAATTTGTTTTTAAAAACAATCTTATTATGTTTAAAATAATTAATTTTAAAAACCAAACTGTTTTACAGAATAAATTATATGATCGTACGAAGTTCCTTAGCAAGAAGTCAATCGAAAAATTTTCGATTAAATATATATTTGCTGATTTTATTATCATATTTTTTGTATAGAGAATATCAATTATTAGCTTTAGTTTCAATCGATTTCAGAAATTGTATTTTATTTTATAATGAGTACAATTGCATATAAATAAGTAGAAATTTAAAAAGGAAAATATATATTTTTCAGATTTGACTTGCATTTCAAAATTCAATTATTGCACACTAATGGTAGTTTATTTTATCAGCATAATAATAATAAAAAAATAAAAATACTTAAAATTATTTCTCTGTAATCTATAATTTTTAATCAAATCTAAAATTAAAATTATTATTCTTTTACTTAAATTGATTTATGCAAACAATTCATTCCTTTATGTGTATACAATTCAATAATATGAGTTTAAAATGTAGCATGCATCATTATTTTTTAAAAAAAAATTTTATGATAATATTTTAATGAAATTAAAATTATTAATTTGGAAATATTAATTTAGAAAACTACTAATTATTATTCCTCCTTTCATGACATTTCTTAGCTATACATTCAATTTATTACGGATATTTAGTAACATACCTTTTATTCAATTAAGTAACGTAAATAATTATGTTAATTTTAGTAGTGTATAAAATTATTAAGTAGATCATGTAATTAATTAAAATTTTTCGATATGAAAATCAGAAAAAAGATATTTAAGGTAGCAAAACGTAGTAGATAAAATCTAAGTAGATAAACTTATGCAACTTTATTTTTTATTTTTTGATGTTAAATAAAAATTCTGAAAGCGTACGAATTTTATGTATGTGTTTTCTTATTAGCACATTCGGCACCAGAATTCACAGTAAATTTTTTTTTTCTGCAGAAGATAAAGATGGGTAACGTAATTATTTCAGTTTTGAAATATATCTGGACGAAACAAGATATCATTGTTTACAATAACAGGCATATTATGAGAAATTATGCAAATATAATATTTTTCAAAACTTAAAATAGTAATCATTACTGAAAACAGGATTCACATGGTCCTAAAATAAATTTTAAAAAGTGATAGCAAAAGATATAAAATGAGTTTCATTTCGTATTCATCAATGGCCTTAAAATTTCAACGTAAATATATATTGTTTATAAATTTTAAAGTAAATTTATTAAATTTTTGACATCACTTTTTACATTTTTTAAGGATGTACACGAACCCTGTAGAAATTATACATTTTTCGATCTATAAGTTCGATTCCCTGCTTCTTAAATAGTTTTACTAAGAAAATTAAAAATGTAGTAAAAAAAAATTACATATGACTGGTAATAAAAAATATTTAAAAAAAAACTCATCAATTTACCTTTCAAATTAAAAGAAAATTAGAATGTTTTTATTCTAAGAATTTGAATTACGAATGATAAGACTTTATTGTTTTAGTTTTTCAACAAGACTGGTCCACCGATTCATAGAGGTAATTTTAACTTTACTACAAAGAGCTACGCCTGCGACAAAACTTAATATATAAATATTTTTTATATGAACATTTTGTTTTTTACCTATACTTGTCTGATAAAGCGTACATTTTAGGTTTTAAAACTAAATATAGTCGTGAACAACAAAACTAGCTTTAGCGACAGTTTCTGCACTCATTTTAATAAAACAAAAACCTAAACATTCCAAACAGGGAAAGACAGCTAAACCAATTAGTTTGTTCAGGAATCTACCACTAGTTTCCGTTGGAGGGCGCTTTAATCGAAATAGACGTTACTGAAAGGTACTGACACAAGTGACACTGCAGAATTATTTCAAAGAGAATATACTGACACTTATAATAGCCCACTGTAGTTTAGCCGAGAACAGCTTTCACGAAATTCAACATCAAGAATCGTCTGCAGTTGACATCTTACAAACAACATAGAACAGAACAAAAAAAAAAGAAGTTTGGTTATTTCGCGGGTGGATAAAGCTGGTCGTTAACTGTAAGCACAAATAAAATGGGAGGACACCTTTTTTTTATTCTGTTTTCCTATTCTTTTGTCAATTTTCTTTTCATACGTCGAGTTGTATATTTGACATAACACGTTGACATGGCTTTCGAACAAGCTTAGACGTGCACCCCCAACGCAGCCTCTGGTTGTTCTTTGAATCCCATTTCAAATTGTTTATTTGTTTTACCGAAAGAAGAAAAAAAAACTCATTTTATTTGTTTATTTTATCTAACTGTCAAGGAATCTGCGTCTTTTACATTACGAACCAAAAACTGATTCTTGGAATTCGCACTTGAGTTGCTCTAACAGGCTTGTCTTTTTAAGTCTCTGTTACGATAGTTAATCGTTTATTTTAAATTTTAAAAACTGCAACCACACGTGAAATCGAAAAAATTTGTTCTTATGCGACAAGTATTCTTAGAAATATGCTATAGAAGTCCAAAAGCTTATGGTGCTCTTTATTTAACGATGCTGAAAGATTTTTCCAAAACAAAAATACTGTTTTCTTAGCTTAAAACATTAGAATTTTTTTATTTTTTATAATGTATAGTTTTTATATCAAAATTGATATCGTTTATTTATAAATTTGTTGTTCGAAATATTGTTTTACGTGAAATACATGATGCACTCTCAGAAATAAAACACTCATTTTTGACAATCCTTGAGCTGTTATTCGTTAATTTTGAAAATCATTTCGTCATGGAATTTATTCGTCTCAAATAAATGACAAAAATATTTCCTCACCTCGGAACCACATCGCAGTGCATTATGGGAGATTGATAATTAGTATGAAGATTAGACGATCGAAAAATAAATTGAGAGAACAAGCCGACTGGCAGTATGGTAGTCAAGGAATTGGTCTCATACCACGAAGATTTCAGGTTCAAATCCCATTTCTGGCATATATGCAATTTATCTCTCTGCTCCATCTGTACCTGTGTTGTTTAGGCAACATTGTGTTACTTATATGGTGGCCACGATATACGTATTAAAAGAAGAGTTAAATCATTAGGCGCTTCGAAATTTTTTTTATTAATTTGTTTGGAAAAAAAAGTCGAAGGACGTTATCTTTCTTTAATTTTGACGATAATTATTTCGTCACTCAGAAGAAATTTGTGCTCGGAACATGTTCCAGGAAACGGTTTCGACAAAATTGTGGCTTGGAGCATCTATTTTTTTTACAGTGCATATGTTTAGTATAGGTGTCAGTGGTTGACCAAAATTTTAAGTAGTACTAGAACCCCGCTATAATGAACCTGGGATATATTGAACACTCGGATGTAACGAACTTTTTAGTGGTTCCTTCAGGACTTATGTTTAACTAACTTTATTGTATATGGCTATAGTGGACAGCTAAAGAATTGGTTGTTTATGTATAGTGGGCTATAATTAAATTTCTCCAATTTTATATGAGCAAATTTTGCGATTGCCAATGACGGTATTCGCTTATACTGTTTTTTATCTTATTCTTGCACGCTCTTCGCTTTTAAACCAGAGCAAACAAGTTGGTAAGCTTCACCCCCCCTCTATGTCGAAGAAGAACAAGAAATTTCGGTACCTTATATCTCGAAATTGGAATTGGTATGCTGTGAATTTATTTTAATGCAGAAAATAAAGATTAAAAAATACTCGATTCTTTATTACTTTAATTGTTTGTATGTAAACCGGTTAACTCGAATTTAAATCGAATTGTAGACAATCAGAAATCACTAATTTCATTAATAGAAGGTTAAAACTAATCATTTATTTTCTTTTTAATAGTTAATTTGTTATCTGTTTGTTCAGTTAATATTTTACGAACAAATCATGCACTAGCGTAATCACTATTTCCTACAATACTATTGTCATATGCTAAAAAAATTGTTTTGTAAAGAATTTAGATATAATGATTTGTTTATTGTTCAAAGTAGAGTTATTGTTGGGTCCACAGACTATAAAGGGGTTCTATTATTAAAATCATGTCTCTAAAATAATTATTTTATGCGTTATTATTTATGTTGAGTATTATGATATAATAATTGGGCAATTCAGATACGGGGTTTTCAACTCCAAAAACAAGAGGTTTTATTGCGGCAATAATTCAAATTTTAGCTCAAAACTTTTAAAATACTTACAAAGCCATGTTTGTCTGAGATATTGTTTGTGATTTTCAGTTTGTGAAAGGAGACAACTTTCTGCATCCATTGTTCACCAGTGGATGGTGAATCAGGATGGATATACATCCTCTTGGGCATCTCGGGGTCGGCCTTCCCTGCCACTACCCACCGGCTATTATGGAATTTATACCGACAATCGTCTGCTGCTACAATGTCCATCAGTAGAATGTATTTAGCTTTCTTGTCTAGGCCGCTCACCCGGACTTTGTAGGCAGGAAACATACGTCTATAATAACAAAATTAATATTGTTAAAAAATATCCACATTTTGATTAAATATGCATTTTATTAAATTCATCTATAATCTAAATTTTGCACTTGCTTTTGATTTATATATTTTTAATTTGTTTGATATCATCTTTGTTATTAATTCTAAATTTAAAACAACTGGAAACATGAAAATTTTTAAGGGATAAATTTTTTGATAAATGAAACTTTTTCATAAATCCATACTTACAGAAATCATTTTCTTTAAAAATAATATTTTTAGAGATTGAGTGATTTTCAAATTTTGTTTGTTTCCGATAGATATTTCTGAAAATAAATATAGCAAAAGAGGAGATAATATGTTGCGTTTCTACTTCCTCTCAGCATCCTTTTATAAAGAACAATTCAAGTGTCCAATGAAATAAAAAGTGGTAATACCTATGTGAAGCATTTATTCCACAGTCCCAAGATTGTTCTCTCAAGCATAATATGCAAGCCTGCTAGCTACTACGATTTCTGCAAATATATTTTATAGACTGGTAGATATTTAAAAATCAAAGCTTTCAAAACTTTTGGTACATTTGCCTACATTTTAAAAGCATCACAACGAAAGTACCGGACGAAAGCGGCGCTGTATATGAACTTTTAAATCATTTATACGAAGTGGTTTGGCTTATAAGTTGAACAAAAAGTAATTAAATAAACATAGCTACCTCTAGTATAAATTTTTACAAAAAGCGTAGTAAGTTAGCAGCCCTGAATATGTTAGTAATGAAAATGTTTCTAATTTGAATCTCATAACAAATCATTTCGCGCCGACTGTCACAAATACGTGCCAGCATAAAACCGTATCAATCAGGGTAAAAAGATAAAACTGGTAACCAAAGTAGTTCTTTACCAGTTTATTTGTGGGAGGGGTTATAATTGCTTGACTTATTTAATTCACCATTACTTTAGTTCAAAATAAAATTATTTAGTTTTATTTTGAACTAACATTGATTATATATATGATTAAACTAACAATATTTAAAGTAAAAGCAAAGTAAGTCTTTCAAATTAGCAACGCCAACATTTAAGCTACCGTTTTCTATTTATTTACATCCTGATTCTGATTTTGCACGAATGCTTTTATGAATCACCCGTCCCCAAGGGGTTAACATAGCTAAATTAAACAACAAACAGAAAAAATGAATACTCAAATATCATTAAATGTTTTTGGCGCAATAATTTTCATATTTTTGCTTCGAGTAAAAATTTCGTCTATTTCATGTATCAAAATTACTATCGTCACTTCTTCAAAGCAAGGAAATGTGCCGGTATATATATATATATATATATATATATATGTAGNTATATATATACAACGCAAGAAGGATAAACAAAACAGAGAGATAAATTACATCCATGTCCGAAGCGGGATTCGAACCCGGGATCATCCTGGAGTAAAGTCAACTCCTTGATCAACATAAAGTCCGGTCGTATCATCATTCTAATTTCGATCATCTAGTCTTCATTATAATTAACAATCTCCCATAATGCACCGCAGTGAGTTTCCGAGTTTGGGAAATATTTCCTTCATATAATCAAGGAGCTTCCGTTTCGTCATAAATCACGCGATTTTGTGTCAAAATGATTCTCAAAATTATTGAAATGCAACTCAAGGGTTGCTGAATCGTCAAAAGTGAGAGTTAAGTTTTATTTCTGAGAGTGCCTGGTCGTATCAAAAAGGAAAGAAAATTTTGTGACAATTTCCTTCTTCAAGATTAAAACAAAAGAGGCGAAAATAGCGAGAATTTTTTATAACGACTACCCGAGATATGGAAGGGGTTTAAATATGAGGATCTACCTCATTCGCAATCTGAAATAGAAATATCTCATTGGTATGTGATTTCCTAGATTTATCGAAGCAGCTGCAAAAGCTGGATCGTAAAGCCCCCACAATTAGCGACCTTACTCAACAAGCTTATTACTTTGCAAGACAGCTGTTTGGAACCTATAAATATTGATATCGATAATGAGAAAAACAAACACGAAGAAATTCAACTATCTCCTTCCAACAACGCCTATTAGATATCCGGCCCACAAAACAACCACAAAATAACAAGAATCAGGTGTCGTTTATGATGATAAGATCGACAATAACAGACTTCGACGTTTTTACCTTTTTACGACTTGTTTGCGTTGGATGCATTTGTTTTCGAAAGATTGCGGAGAAAAGTCCAAAATTAATGATTTCAAATGCTTCGGGAATAGCACCGGATGTGTTATATCTGGTTGTGAGAGGCGCCGATGGTCATAAAAATGTGTTTTTAATAGCGCAAAATGCGATAATTTAGTTGGAATTATTGGTATATTTTAGCAATTTTTGACTTCTGTCGGTAATTTGATGTCATTAAATATAATATAATATATAATATCGCTGTTATTATAAGAAATATTATATAAGCTTCTGGTGTTATAATTTGAAAGCAAAATGTAAATGAGGAAGAAGAAAATTAAGATAGTAACTTTATTCTTCGTTTGTTGTTTGACAACATTTTCTGAAATGTCTTCTAATTTTTCTTTTTTTCTTTTATCTTTAAATTAGCATTATTATTATTATTTTTTGAAAGGAAAATAAGAGATGAGTTTTTCAAAAATAATGCTTGAGATTTTATCATGACACTAAATAAATTGTTTAACCGTAACGATATCGATTTTTGAAGTTTTCCTGAGATTTGCATGTTTTCCTCCTGGTTACAATTCCCATTAAAGACGGCAAAATCTGCATCTAAAAATCTATGAAGATCTACAATTTATACGGAGATCTATAATCAACATCTTTTTCATAAAATATTTTATTTTTATGTGCTGCAAAAGGAACACTAAAAGGTGCAGAAATCGCGTAAGAAACATGCAACAGAAATAACTATTAAAGAAATTGAAAAAAAATTAATAATTGAAGGCAAAAAATTATTAAAATTATTGAAGTCAAAGCAAAAAAGTGAAGGAAAAAAAAAACTGGATGTAAAAAGTCATTGCTTGAAAAAATAATAATATCGTCGTGCTGTTATAGCTATTGATAAGAATTAAATCTTTTAAGGACCCTTAAATGAGGTTCAGGAAATTTAAGAGCAAGAAAATTGTAAGGATTAATATTGAAAAAGAGTACTTTAAAAATATTGATTTATGTAGAAATTAAAGCAAATATTTTTAAGAATTAAATGTATTTGAACTTTAAATTTCTAAGAATACAGACATTTTAAATATATTTTTTAATGTTTCAATACTTAGAAAAGGTACAGGTGATTTTTTTGATATTTCTCTGATTGTCACTGTTAATACAGAACCATCTCTGAATTCAGATACAGAACCGTTGAATAATCGTTTTTGAAAGTTCTGAATCTCTCTAGTGAGCTTTCTTATATAACAGTTAAATCAAATTTTCCCCTCCGAATTATGCCCATCTAAATTGTTTCGTTATTCATGATATTCCGTAATTTCTTATATTACGTCTATTTTACATCATGAATTATACGTTACACGTCATGATGTAAACTTATAAAAGCACGTAAATCATGACGTAAACCAATAAAAGTAAGCATCAATATTAAAATTACGATAATTCTTACATTTATACTTCCTCTGATTCACAGTGAATCACTAAAAAATTTCTAAATCTATCATATACCACTAAATCTATAATATTTAGTCAGTAATTAAGTTTAAAATCTAAACACCGCATGGATGCAAGAACTCCATGGACTTGTTTTATAGTAGCAGAAGGAAGAGTTTTTAGAGTAGTTCGCTTTTTGGAGTTTAACCCATTGTGAATTGTGTAATTGCATTTTTATCAGATTACAAAAACATCTTTTTGAAAATAAATCTATCACGTTTAGTTTGAAATAAGTTAAAATCTAAGTTTAAAATCTAAACACCTTATGGATGTAAGATCTCGATGGGTTTGTCTTATAATAGCAGAAAGACGGAACGTTTTTGGAGTATTATTTCTTCGCTTTTGGAGTATAACTGATTGTGAATTGCATAATTATATTTTTTTCTGATTACGAAAAAATCTTTTTAATAAAGATGGGTTTAATTTCTGTGAAAAAGATGATTTCGTTTGTATTGAGTCAAATTAGTTCTGCGGAAGTGTAAAGCTATTTGTTATTTTCAATCGCGTAAGTTTAGGTTTAGCTGTTTTTAAGCGACGAATGTTATTTTTTTTTTCAGATTTAAAATTTCTTTTAGTTTTTTTCAAAACTTAAAATCCTGAAATTAACATACAATTTCTACTAAAACTGATTTCATTTCAGTTCATGTGGCTTACAACTTCAGGGGTCTGTCCAGGCCTGATTCACTACCGTTTAGCGGTACCTTTACAAATTCAACTTTAGGAAAAACGGTAGTTTTACAAAATATTCTTTCTTAAAATTTTATTTTTGTATCCCGTAAGAAACGATAAATCCATATTTTTATCATATTTTTGTGTTGATTTTTTAATATAATTTTTAATTTTCACTAATTATGTCTAAAATTTCACAAAATAGGTACCTCTTAGAAAAACTTAGACAGACCCCTGAATTTATTTATAAGCAGATTCAGAAAAAACGACAAAACACAGCAGACTAATCGGAAGTGGCTCAAATCACTGCTTTTTGCATCTCAGCATAATGATGCTCATTTTCCACACCGGTTCCATAAATTCAACATGGCCCCCAATTACAGCTGTCGTATCCTCGTCTATCTTCCTTTTTTTCTTTTATTTTTTATCTTTGTTTCGCCTTTCACCTATTCATTCTTCTTCTGTGGTTATTAGTGTCCTCTCATGAGTAGGACATGTCCTTAAATTTTCCGAGCTGCTCCCCACCCCACCCATTCACAGCCTTCAGGTGGTCAGGCTTAATCACACGCCATCACCCAATCAAAACAAAGCCCTCGGAATAGTTCAGAACTACCAATAACAACCAATCCTTATGTTATTCCACTGCTTTCCCCCCTTTATTCAGTCCCCTTCCTGGTAACCTGGAAGAGATAGATC